TATTAAAATTTTATAAAAAAAAAAAAAAAAAAAAAAAAAAAAAAAAAAAATTTTAGCGAATCAATTAGGGACTAAAGTTAGATGTAAATGCTATTGATTTTTATTGAGATTAAGTAATGCTTAGCGTCTCAAAAAGGATTTTTCACTAGTATAGCTACGTTGTTATATATATTATCAATGTAAATGTCTATTATCTTATGTGATATGACTTGAAAAAAAGAGGGGTGCATCGTATCGTTGTGAATGTAACTTTTATAGAGTACTTATAAGTATGAAAGTTTAAGAATGCGAGTAGAATTTTCTCTATATTTGAATGGCTTTTAGTGGACTTTTGCTCACACAACTTAATTCAACTCGGTTTAAACCTTCAAGGGAAGATATTTACTGTTTAATAAAACGTCAAGTGAGTATATTTCGAACATTATATATTAAAGGAAATAGATGCATGCATATTTGAAGAAAAAAGATGATAACTTGATTAAAGGTGGGTGACTAGGTCAGGTGTTGTCCCACTCCCTGCCTAATTACATGTGCACTGTAAATCACACCACATTAGATGACCAAATATGGGGCCTAAGGAGCTCCAACTACAAAGAAGCCTCATTTTAACTTTAAGTTTTGAGTATAAGCTTACCTTAGCCATCAATCATATATTTTTCCAAGTTCCAATAAATCATTGCACAATTATGGTCCATTGGTCATGAACCTACGTGCTCAAGACTATGTTTATCTGGAATTTTTGATGAATTTGCTTCTTCTAATTTGGTAAAGAATGATCGTCTTATTTTATATGTTTGTGCGTGTGTTTTTCCTTTTTGCCTAACTTAGAGAATTTAATCGTATTAACATAATAAAACTCAATCATTGTTTGATCATTAAAATACATAGAGATCGATTTTTTTTAATCAAATTGGTTTGTGAGGTAAGACATCGAAACTTAGTCCTTGTTTGAATATTATTTTTTCTCAAACTTAATTTCATCCATACATTTTATTAATAAAATATTTTGTACACAAATCTTTTTTTTTTTTTTAACTATAATCTCATAAAAATTACCATTACAAAACTCATTTTTACAAAGAAAAATGAGGCACGGAGGCTTATTTTCATTGAAAGAAATGTAAATATAAAGTTTTCCTTGTCCTCTTATGATAATTAATGCTATATGCGGATACAAGGATGATTCACAAATTATTGTGAAAGTATAGATTTGGCCAATTTATTTTAATTCAACGTCACTTTTTAGTTATTTTTAGATGGTTAATCAATCATGTCAAATTATCCTACGATTTTAATGCCACGATCAATTATATGAAAGCAATCAGAAACACAAAATATGTTAACGGAGAAAATCCAACTGGATAAAATTTTTGGGATCCAGCCAGTAACCTCCACTATAAACAATATAAATTTATAGTATGATCCAACCTCGAAAACTCATTAGTCTCACCAATCTAATTCATGCAATCTCTAAGACCTGTTGGAATGTGCTTTACTCACATCCGTCCCGATCTGTTATAATTATCTATCCCTTGTGTATCACCAATAATACTTTGTTATGGTACCCTTCTTGTACCACTTGTTCAACCTCCCTTAATTTTCAGCAATCTTTTAAAGTTCTTGAGAAAGTGTCTTTCTGTATATATATATATATATGAAGTGGGTGTTTTGAATTACGTAAATTTGATGTTTTCCTAAAATTGTAGTTGAATGATCTCAAGAATTAAAGGATTAGAGTATATATATAGTATAAGGTATTTAGGTAGCATGAGCCGAATAAAAACTCTTTAAAAATACGAACTAAGGTTTTATGCGTAACACCGTCGCTCGAACACCAGGCTAACAACAAGCGAGTGACCGGTGTGTCGTTTGAGTGAGAGTTGCCCGACAAGATTTCTGTTTTTTCCACACGAGCATAGATAGGTGATATGCTAGCGTAAATTCGACGACTCTTTCCTCCTTGTTTCAACTTTGAACCCTAAGATACCTAGCTCATCTATACAACATTTCAATTGACTCATTGACTTTTACAACTTTTTTATTAGTCATTTTATCTAAAGAATTGCTAATACTATTAAATCTTTTTTTTTTTTTTTGATAACCCAGGTGTCCCAGCTTAGCCGGACTAAATCCTGGACCTCTAGCCCCCGGCCCCTCAGTGACTAGTGGAGGTAAATCGCAGGTTGTGCCCTTATTGGTTCCCAGGTTCCCACATGGCTTTTACTCCTTCCCCAAAGGGACCTCCTCCATGGTTATTACATCACCAAGCTGCTCCAACCCTTCCTCTGGTTATTACATCACTTGGCTGCTCCAACCAGGAATCGAACTCCCCACACTTGGTTCCAGATCCCCCCAATATGATTGTTCCGCCAACTTGGATGTGCCCTGGGGGGCACTAATACTATTAAATCTTGACATATTGGAAGAAGAACAAGTATATTACTGATACGAGTATTTTGTTTATTATTGAAATCCTAAGTAATATAGGATTTCTCCTAACACAAAGCACTATTGGAGAAAAATAAGTGATATATATGTAGATCATCAATTAACATAACAAAATAAAAATTGTATAGACATAAGAAGAGATTTAAAAGCAAGATTTAGAAAATCACGTCAAAAACGGTATCCTAAAATCATGTGATCTTCCCTTCTTATGGATATTTTCGACATTACATGATTTCAACTTTCAATATAAAACTTTTACAGTTCTTAATCGATTCTCCTTTTATAGATACGATCACATGAAGAAAAAGAACAAACTTATTATTGAGTTATTTTAAGAATATAGTATAAAATATATAGAATGTTTTCAAATATCCCAAATAATGAAGTGTCTTTCCCTCTTATAGTATAAAAGTTCAACTCCGACATTCACGAATTTTAAATTATTTAATTAATGTATCTAATTTTTATTAAACATGAAATTTAAAAACAAAAACTGAAAACTAAAGTTTTTTACTTTCGAAGTTTAAAATTTATTGTCCTATGCTACATCAAGTGCCAAAAAAAAAAAAAAAATTATAATAATTTTTATCATGTTAAGAGGAGAATACTACACAGTACCCAATAATAATAATAATAATAATAATAATAAAATTATCATATTCATATATAAGTGAAGAATAGTACACCACTGGTTCCCAGCTAACTTTGAGTAAGAAGCTGATCTTTAACTTTTGCTATTATTGCAAAATTCGTCATTAATGATAAATGGTATAAATTTAAGTTAAATGAATATTTAACACTTTGAAAATGTCACGCTTCAAATTAAGAACTGCTTGTAGTTGGGACCAATTTAATTTTTTCCCCCTAAATATTGAGAACTAACTTGCTATTAAAATAATTCGTAAACTAATTATAAATTTTCCTATATAATCGTTTAGGATCCCTGCTTCTGTTCTTGCGAAAGAGTTTCATATTCTAACAAGACAAAATACTTTCAAAAAACAATCCAAATATTTACGAAATAATTTTTTAATCTCAAAAATAATCTTTAACTTCTCAAAAGTTTTCTCATACGATTGTGAATAAAACTTTTTGTATCAACCCATATGCTAGTATGGCAGCACTTTAAGAAAAAGTAAACATTTGGACCTCACAAATCAGCTGTTATTTCTGAATTTTGATTTTTGTGTACCAAAAATCAATTTTTGATGAAGCCATAACGGCTTTTAGGTACCAATTCTTATCAAAAGTGACTTTAGAAATTCAAAAGCGGTGAAGACGGGGATTGGGTTGCTATGAGAAGGAAAGCATCTATCCACAAATTTTTTTTTTATTTGCCTTTTTTTATATTGTGTTAAATTGTTTTATATAAATGCTTGTAAATTTGGTTAAGCTTGAAACTTTATTTATAAGCAATGTTTTAAAAAGTTGATCAAAGTTTCAATTAGGTGAAAGCAACAATACAAATCTTTCATTTCAAAAATGAATTGACAAAAACCAGTAAAATTGTTCTGAATTTCTGATGAATAGACTGATACTCGAACTCTTTTAACGAGTTGCAATTTATGTTTTTAAATATGTAATCAGATTGTTTTAGATCAGTTTCCGGTTACTCTAATCAAATCAGCATGATTCTTATAGCATTTCTTACAAGTGATAAGTAAATTTTAAAATAAGTAATATGTTATTATAAAAAAAATGACAGTTAACAAGTTATTTATTTTGATAATAAAGTAAGAATTCTTTTTTAAAAAAGGTACAATTTTCACTTATGAAGAAAAATTGAATTAGTCAAACATTTCATTTGCCTCTTTTTCCCCGTAATTGGGCTCGGGTTGAGCCCATATTTTGACGAGGAACATTGTTTTAGCTTATTGATGGGCCCATTAACCCAAGTCTACTTATGTTCTAGTCCATATACCAAATTCAGACCAAGGCCCAAGCTCGTGCCTTGGATAAAAGAATGAATTAGAATATACTAATCTTCCAATAACAGAGTAGGAAAGGAATACTTCTAACTTTTCCATACAATTAATTAGTGCCTCTCTTCACCATAGCACGTATTCCTCGTATGCATTTTTTTCTCTATATATGCAATTATGGTCCCTTCAGCAGCAAAAAGGATCAAGAAAACATGGCATTTCATAAAAATTTTCAGTCAGCATTTTTGCTTTTACATCTTTTCATAATAGGTAATACTACATTGTCATAGTCATTTATTTTTCCTCAATTCCGATAGGTGAGGCAGGCTGGGGTTGGGGGGGAGTGTTGTCCGAGCCAGATGAGACGATCGAGGGGCAGTGGGAAGGGGATATGTTTTGGTTCTTTGCACAGTTTTCTTGTAGTATCGTCGTTTAAAAGTTTAAGTTGTGACGATAATTTATTTATATATCGAAATGTATAATTTTCATCGTTTTTCTCATGTAATGAACAGGAACAAAAGTTTCGGACTCTGCCCGAATATTCACTATAATCAACCATTGTAGAGAGACAATTTGGCCTGCCGTTTTTCCGGGTGAGTATTTTAATGGTGGTGGTTTTGCCTTAAGACCGGGCGAATCTCGTGTTTTCACAGCCCCGGTGAGTTGGTCTGGCCGAATATGGGCTCGAACAGGCTGCAATTTCGATAGGAGTGGTAATGGACCTTGTCAAACTGGCAGTTGTGGTAATTCTCTAAAATGTTCAGGCTCGGGAAAGCCCCCCGCGTCTCTAGCCGAATTCACCCTCGCCACATTGGACTTTTATGACGTCAGCCTCGTTGATGGGTTCAATTTGCCAATGAGTGTGACACCCCTTAATGGTAGAGGAAATTGTAGCGTTGCAGGGTGTGATGCAGATTTAAGGTCTACTTGCCCTAGAGAACTAGCTGTTAGAAGCAATGGTAGGACCGTGGCATGTCGAAGTGCATGTGATGTGTTCAATACCGACGAGTACTGCTGTCGGGGTATGCATGGGAACCCATCTACATGTCAACCTACATCTTACTCGAAAAAATTCAAGGAGGCGTGCCCTACATCTTATAGTTATGCATATGATGATCCAAGTAGCATTTTTACATGTACGGGAGCAGATTACGTCGTGGCCTTTTGCTTATCAAGGTAATGTCAAATCTTTAGAAGATTACTCGATTTGTAGTGATATTATTCTCTAAAAGATGTTTCTTTTTGTCGTGATGATTGCAGGAGGAAACCCGTGTGCACATATCATAACCATAATTTGATTTGTAGTGATTCAACTGGATTGCAACCATCAATGGAGAAGTGGTGGACGATGATTCTTGGTTCGGCTATTACGATTACTTTGTGGACAATTTCTTAATTACTAGTAGCATTAAATTTTCCCTTATTGCTATGTTTGAGCTAACACCATACGTCTGGATTCCTTTCTCTTGAAATGGTAAATAATCTCAATTCGTTGTATATATGATTCGAATACCTTTTTATACAAGTTCTTTGATCATTCCATACAGAATTCTAGTAGTTGGTTATTCTTCATTTGTTCATGAACGAGTCCCTTCCACATTACAAAAAATCACCACAACTTAAAAAAAGAAAAAGAGCAATTGAAAGTAATATAAATCAAGAATTCGTTGGGGAATTTTGGAATAGGCTTCTCAATTGAAAATTTCTACTATTTTAATAACTCGTAATGTGATCTTGGATGATTTAAAATATATTAAAACTTATTAATTAACATTCATTTACTCCGACAACAATTAAGATTCTTCTAAATATTTTATACAAGGTAAATCTTTATCATTTTCCTTTGGCTAGGAATGAAGAATGTTTAGATACTGATTACTACGAAGATTTAACCATTGATTATGAAGGAACGAAAAATTCGCAAAAAATTAGAAAAACAAAATGTTGAAATGTTAATATTAACTAGGGAAAAAGTATGTCTAATTATTAGATGGAGTTAATGATTTTAATTTTGACATGCTTGTGGATCAAAATTTAACCTTGTACATGATTGTTGCAATTCGTAAGAAGAAGTCATGTTAGTTCTCAAACAATAGTTTTTGGAACTTAAATTGGGCTCTCTCTCGAGAACTGATAACTACGACTCATTTTGGTTGGAAAATGTAGAATCATTTCTATGGATGACAACGGGGCAGCTTTTTGCCCCATTTGCTATCCCGTTTATTTATTTATTTACATTTTCAAAATTTCGAGTTTTGCTATTATTAGGGAATAAAATACAAATTGAAAATGAGTTTTTAACGGGTGAATTGTTTAGAAATAAAATTATTTTTTATTTTTTTCTCTTTACGGGGTGGGGTACACATCCCACCCCCGCCAACCTGTCGAGTTGAGATGGGGTAAGTTTTTTTGCCATTACTAATAATTTCCAAAATATAAAAGAACAAGAAGCAAAACGTACAACTTTAGATGAGGATTATTGATAATTTAATAGAGACATGGACATATTAGATCATTAAGGTCTGATTACGTAAAAAAATACACGATTTCGTATCAACTTGCTACTGCAGCAGTAGGTCAGGGATCCATGTTGCAATTTTCTTTCAGTCGCGCTCCGCGTACTTATGACGCAGTTGTTACTCCTTAAGCTTTAAAACGTTAAACGCCACTTTTTTTGTTGTTGTTAATTTTTAAGAAAAAAGAAAAGAAATTTCGAAAAGAAGAAACCGAAGAGAAAATGGCTACCGATGGCGCCGGCGGCGGAAAGGTGTCTTTCAAGGTCACTCTCACTTCCGATCCCAAACTTCCGTTTAAAGTGTTAGTTACTCCTAAATTACCCTTTCATTTTTTTTTCACAGTTTATGTAAAATTAATTTTCGTTTCATAAAGAAAAATCTTTCATTTTTCAATGCAGATTTAGCGTTCCTGAGGCTGCTCCATTTACTGCAGTTCTCAAATTTGCTGCCGAGGAATTCAAAGTTCCTCCTCAAACCAGCGCTATTATCACCAACGGTATCTTTGCTCATGCGATTTGTACACACACACACACATAATTCATAGTTCCTTTTTCTTGAATTTTCTGATTGGATTTCGAAATTGAATCTCTTTTGGGGGTAGGGAGGATTTTGCTGATCCAACATATGTTAATTTTGTGGAGATGCTGCTTTTTGCTGTTTAATTATTTTTGGCATTTTTTTTTTTTTGGTTGAATTATTTGCAGATGGTGTGGGAATTAATCCTCAACAAAGTGCAGGTACTTCAGAAATTACATTTATCATTTAAGTTTGTTGATATTCAGTTTTATTCTTTAAGATCAAGATGCAGCATTAGATTGACTAGAGATTTGATAGCTTTTTTGGCTAATGATGAGATATTACCATTGACGTTTATTTCATTTTCCCTATAGCTTGCTTATAGTTATTATTCATGTGCAATTTGGTTACGTGACATTGTATAAAACTGGACCAGAGTTTTTTGTTTTTCCGTCCTCAATACTCCCCAATGTTGTCTATCCATCTTACTGAATATGCCATAATTGTATAATGTATTGTTTAAGTACTTTTCCTTTCTTTCTATGAGTTTGATTTAGCTTTGGCAAGTGTGCTTGTACGGAGGCTTATAAACTTTACTTCTTCTTTCTCGTTTTATTTTTCTATAAGAATTACTAAAGGTAAAAATGTGATATGTTTTGTTTTTATAGTGGGAGAAATAGGGTGGGATAATAAATTAACAGCTAGATATGGCAACTTTGGAAGGGAGTTAATTTTGCTCTATATTCTCCACTGCCTATCTGATTCTCTTTTCCCCTCTTAGATCCCCCTTCTCTATGATGGAAAGTTGGCTCCTTTTTCTTCTACTTATTGGCTTTTTTAGTTTGTAGCTCCCCAAAAAGAGGAATTAGCAAATTTTCCTCTTGAATAGAAAGAAAATTTCTAGAAAAAGGAATTACATAATAAATGTAAAAATGGGGTATGAGTTAAGGCAATACTAAGGCCCTATTTGTTCCCCCCCCCCCCCCCCCCCCCCCCAACAAAGAAAAAAAAGACCCTAAGTTTTAGGCTTCCAAGTCTGAGCTTCCCTCTTTCTTCACTCTTCACTCTTCGTCCTTCTCTTTCCTTTTTGTGTTTTCTCTTACGACTCTATCTAGTTACTTCGCCACTGAACAGCACCACAACTGGCATCTCACCACTGTGGCCATATCTTTCCCTTGTCTGCTCCACTGCCTCATTTTCTGTGCTTATTTGTTTTCAGATTTAAGTATTACACTATGCATTATATGAACTAACTATAATTCACATTTACGCGTTAAGATAATTGTGTTATCATTATTTTCAACTCAATAAACTTGCCAATGTTTCAAGAAAGTGAATTCATTTGCTCTATAATTAAAATTCGTGGCCAAATGTTGTATGTGTGCCTCATATATTTGTTTCTGACATGGTGAAAAGAGAGTTAGATGAGTGCCCAAATGTTGTAAACTCGTCCTGTTGTGTGAACACTATTTCGGTTCTTTTGATCTTACCATTTCTTTTAACTTCTGTGTTAGATCTTTTTTGACCGTTTTCTGTTTCTCCGTGATATATACACATAATTTTGTTAGCTCTTGACACATTTTTGTGAATGTTAATTTTTGTGTTAAGTTCTAATGTTAGACTGGTACTTTACATAAATCTAAATTCGTATTAGAAATATATTTCAAAAAATGTGTTGTTATTGGACTTCAGTTGGCAATTTAATTGTTTAAATTCTAACTCCTTATCTAATATAAATCAATGGATCTTTCAGGTAATGTCTTTCTCAAACATGGCTCGGAATTGCGCTTGATTCCTCGTGACAGGGTTGGTGCTCATTTGATGTCATCTTAAAGCTCAAATTGAAGATGGTTTATGTTATCTTAAGATTAAATTTCACCTATCTATCTATATATATCTATCCTTATTCCGTTTACACAATTCTTGAATGTTACTTTCTCAACTAGTTGTTGGGTTGTTAAATATTCAGATTGTTTAATCCTAAACTGAAATGAATGATTGTTGGACTTTGATTTCACAGAAAACAATAAGAGCGTTTGAGAAGTTATAGACAGGATTTATTGTTGTGCACTTTTAAAGTGAATGAAATACCTCGTGCCACTGTCTCCTGATTGTATCATTTATGGAAGTGGTTTGTAGGGTGTTTCGAATAATAAATAACTTTTCGGAGAAGCGAGTTTTCTTTCGTATTTTAAGATTCCTTGGCCACGTTTTACAGTATCCAAAGACTTTATAGAAGTTTGGTGGCTGCTACTGCTAAATTAGGTCACTGGAATTGTTGCTTATGCTTCGTGATTATGAAACGTTGTGCTTAAATAGTATATATAGGTACATAGTTATTTATTGATTAAAGTTGAAAATAAGTTACTTATTTGAACTGCAGACATAATTTTTGTTTTTCACTTGATATATATATATATATATATATATATATATATATATATATATATTTCACTTGATATATATATATATATGAACTGCAAATATATGCAGCTACTTGTGTATCTTCTGGTGAAGAATAAGCTGGGAAAAAAATTTCACATGTATGTTCTATTATCCTGACCGTGATCCCACCGGACAGTACTGAGGCCGCCTCGTTATGATCAACACGTCGCCATCAATTAGTATAGCCATGTGGTCCAGGTCACCAATGACCCGGGCCAGAGGCATAGTATACGCGTTGTGGGTTAGGAACATTTCCAACAAGCACTCATCGTTATTGCAGAATGAATTGGATTCTAAATTCGAAACTCTTGAAGGTTTTGTACTAAAATTTTAGAAGCTTCCAAGAAAATTTACGCAAAACTGGTGGCCTAATTTTCAAAAACTTTGATCAGAAATGGCATGTCTTCGTGGATTTTGTTGCAAACTTCAACTAAGAATAACTTAATTGTGGGTTTTAGGAAAAACGTGAGATTGTAAAATAGACTAAAATGAGACAAAATAATTTAGAAAATTAATGGAAGAAGATATTTTTCTTTAGAGTAATGCTATGTAGCGCCATTGAGGTTGCAATTCTAATCTAAGTGGTGCTAATGTGATTTTAATTGATAGGTTGCAATCCCAGTGTAGTTAAAAAGCATTACTCTTTCTTTACCAACCGAAGCCTTCACCAGCAAGGCTTCAATAATGGTAAATTGTACATTTTTCAATAAATGGAACGAGAAAAAGAGGGGTGATAATAGGCCTCCCTTACTAAAAACTCCTTTAAATGGTTTTTGTCTATTTACTACCCTAAAACATTATCGACTGAAACGCTTCTATTATCAATTATACTTTCAGTCAAGTCTTGAGCCTTCCTCTATCTCTAGCTTCAACATATTTTTGTTGATTTTTAAGTTTTCTGAGGAAGAGGATGAATTTAGGTGCCTTCCGCTGACCACCATTCACAATATTATCAATTATGGATTTTTTGATGGAAAATTCCATGGGTGAGCTCTTGAGATTGAAATTTCTGTTGCTGAAGGAGTATCAAATAAAATAAATTTTTTATTTAACATGATCTTGTGAAGTGCAAATAAATGACATCTCAAAAGTCAACATTAATTTTTTTCTAATCAAACATAAATTTCGTTTGTCGCTTAATTTAATTTTAAGTCAGGAAATGCAATTATTTTAAAGGGGTCAAGAACTAGTAGACGTTGAACCATACTGTTAAAAAATATTAATATATTTATTGATAATTAATAGCCCAAGTTCTATAATCACAATCCACAATAGTGAACCTCCGTTAAAAGCTAAAGAAAAATGGAGTGTAAAAGGTTACAAATAACTATTATTTCCGCCAATAACCTCCCAAAAGTTCATGATTCTGGTAGTATGAAAATTTATGCTAAGGTTTCAGCCGCCGGAAAATATGAAACCGAGAGGCTCACTCCAGTGGACAACGCCAGGGAGAACAACCTGCAGTGGAACTACAAAATTACATTCATATTGACGGAGGCAGTGGCGCAACAAGGCAACGTTGACCTCAATTTTAAGCTGTACTTTGTGTTGGGAATTTACTTATATATGTACAACGGAAAATTAAAATTATTTCTATTCTCAATGGATCCATTTGTGTTTAGATAGAAATCGTGATAAAGATTGTACCTTTGAAAAATTTTGCAAACACTTTGATTTTCTTTTCGTTCCAACAATCATGATTCGCCACCCATAGCTGTCCAATTGTCCAGCCTCCAATGTTGATTCACACAGAGAATAAGATTGCAGCTACCAGGGTTTTCTCATCTTGTGCTAGCAAGAATAATTATGAGAAAAAAATCATATGGATTGAAAACCCTAATCTTGTATTTATATAAGCCCAAACGAACCTGACCCAGCCCGGTCCAATATAATATTTAATTAATCTATTTAATTAAATTCGATCAAATTAATTAATTCAGGCCTATAAATAACAAATCCAATTGATTAATTTATCCAACGATTGTTAAATTAATTAATTAACAAATTTGCAATCTTCCAATTTTCTTTTGTGTGCGACCCATCAGGTTCCCGATCACGATGCCTAACGACGTGAAATATTATTATGATCTAATCAAATTTGATAAATTAAAACACCCTTTTAATTTATCATCAATTCACACTCGCCGTCCCAAATTGACATTTAGCAATGTGTCAGGACAATACATGTGACGGGAAATGTCACGTGGTATGACAAAATCAAACTCGTTCGTTTACCGTGAAACTATAATCCATTCGTCAATATGATCCGATCAATTACAAGATATAGAAGTGTGTCAATTTCGATTAACGATCATATTTTTCACTCCATTATTAAGTCAATATAAGTCGAAAACTCCTTTTCGACTTGTGAGTACACCTTGGCCAAGGATTTCATCATTGACTTAATTGAATGAAACGCAGATCATAATCTCCTACTATCTAAAAGTGACGAATCCTTTATTGGTTAATCACGACCTTCATACGATTCTTGTCGTACTCGAACGATGTCGTATTAGCGGCCATTTGCAGAGCAACGTCCAACAACGCCAAAGTATGATTGTCCTCATATAAGGTACCATGACGACCTCAAGTCAAATAATCAATTTCACTATCGAACGTTAGAGATTAACTGCTGACACTCAGATAGTTATCCATGTGGAATCTCTCGACGGGTCTCCAATGTTTTGTTCTATAACAAAACATCCACATTTTCATATAAGTGTCACCACACTTTACCTTGTGAGATCAGCTACTCACTTCACAAGTAAAAAAATGCGACACGTGATGGTCTATTCGTAATAACAATATCTGTATCTCGTTATTACTTACGACTACGGACAATTTAAGATTTAATCAGATGTAATTTGTATCTCACAATCACAACT